TAGTGGTGATGATATGATGACGGTGATTGATGATGATGATGCTGTTGATGATGGGGATGATGATGAGGTGATGATGATTTTGATGATGGTGCCCCGATGATGATGCTGCTGATGTTGTTGATGATGGTGTCCCGGTGATGATAATGGTGATGATGATGGTAACGATGATGATGGTGTCCCGATGATGCTGATGTTGATGATGATGGTATCCCGATGATGATGATGTTGATGATGGTGACGATGATGGTGTCCCGATGATGATGATGATGATGGTGATGATGATGTTGATGATGATGCTGATGAGGTGATGACGAGGATGGTGTCCAGATGATGATGATGTTGATGACGTTGATGGCGATGGTGTTGATAATGATGACGTTGATTGTGAAATCGATTGTGATATCGATAGTGAGACCGAATGTGCGATATATTGTGAGATCGATCGTGAGATCGATCGTCAGATCGGTTGTGAGATCGATAGTCAGATCGATTGTGAAATCGATCGGATGAAATAGATCGAGTGATATCGATTGTGGGATCGATCGAATGAGATCGATCGAGCGAGACCGATAGTGAGATCGATAGTAAGATCGATAGTGAGACCGATCGAGTGAGACGTTGGTTCCCCCCCCCGAACCTCCTTATCAACCGAAGGGTGGTCGTATATGTAAGGATGAGGAGGATGAATAGGAAGATAAGGGATGAAGGAGTAGGGAGGATGAGGACCAGGATGAGGAGGGAGGAGGAGGAGGAGGAGGAGGAGGAGGAGGAGGAGGAGGAGGAGGAGGGGGAGGAGAAGGGGGAGGAGGAGGAGGAGGAGGAGGGGGAGGAGGAGGAGGAGGAGGAGGAGGATAAGGAGGAGGAGGAGGAGGAGGAGGAGGAGGAGGAGGAGGAGGGAGGAGGATGAGGAGGAGGAGGAGAAGAAGAATGAGGAGGAGTCGGGGATGAGGAGGAGGACCGGTAACCCAAGAACCATCAACGATGTTGGAATACATCCCTCCCTCCAAGTCCCCTCTTCGTAGGCCCCATACAGCGGTTCATTTCCACTGAAGGAACTGCCTCGTTGGACGGCAACCGTTTGATGACCCTGGAACATGCCAACACATTATTCTTCTGACTCCAACGCCACGGATCAACCTGACTGTTGCGTCTGGGCGACCCTGAATCGTGCCATAACTCCATCCCTGGAACCTCAATACCGCGAATCAACGTACCTGTGGCGCCCTCAGAATCCCGAATATGTCTAAAACGCCATTTCTGGTACGTTGGTCATGAGAATACATGAAGCTCCTGTAAACGTTTACACCGAATATTCACGGTGCTACAGCGAGAACCGCATGTTGAAAACCACCCACCCCCAATCCGTGAAACGCTTGCACATGTTTAAACCGAATGTGCGCGGCGCTACGGCGAGAACCACACGTTGAAAAAAGAACCACCGCCCTCAATCCGTGAAGTTCTTGCAAATGCTTGACTGTGCGCGGCGCTAAGACGAGAAGCACATCTTGAAAACCACCCGTCCTCAACCTGTGAATCGCTTGCAATTTGTGACAACGAATGTGCGCAACGCTACAATGATAACCACATTTTGAAAACCACCAACCACCAATCCGTGAAACTCTTGCCAAATTCGCAAAACGAATGTGCACGGCACTACAACGAGAAACACATGTTGAAAACCACCCGCCCTCAATATGCCAAACTCTTGCAAATGTGGAAGGCGAATATGCGTGGTGCTAAAGTGATCCCCACAAACTGAACACTACCCGCCGTCAACCCGTGAAACTCTTGCAATGTTTAAAACGAATGTGCGCGGCGCTAAGGCGAGAACCACCTTTTGAAAAGGAACAGCCCTCAACCTGTGAAGCTCTTGCACTCATTTAACCATGAATGTGCGCGGCGCTATTGCGAGAGCCACATTTTGAAAACCATCTGTCTTCAATCAGTGAAGCTGTTGCACTTTTGAAATTTCAGGCCCTAAACAGGCCTCGGCGTGCGACAGGGAGAAGTTCTTTATAAGAAAAATAATGGAGCATGAGCAGGAGAAGGAGGCGGCGGCGGATGAGGAGGAGGAGCAGGAGCAGGATGGGGGAGAAGGAGGAGGAGGAGGAGGGAGGAGGAGGAGGAGGAAGAGGAGGAGGAGGAGCAGGAGGAGGAGGAGGAGGAGGAGGAGGAAAGAAGAGGAGGAGGAACGTGAGGAGGAGGAAGAGGAGCAGGAGGAGGAGGAGGAGAAGGAGGAGCAGGAGCATGAGCAGGAGGATGAGGAGGAGGAGGAGGAGGAGGAGGAGGAGGAGGAGAGGAGGAGGGGAAGGAGGAGGAGGAGGCGGAGGAGGAGGAGGAGGGAGGAGGAGGAAGAGGAGAGAGGAGAGAGGAGGAGAGAAGAGGAGGGAGGAGAAGGGAAGAGGAGGAGGAGGAGGAGCAGGAGGAGGGAGGAGGAGGGAGGAGGAGGGAGGACGAGGAGGATGAGGAGGATGAGGATGAGGATGAGGAGAAGCAGGAGGAGATAGAGGAGAACCAGGACGAGGAGGAGGAGGAGGAGGAGGAGGAGGAGGAGTAGGAGCAGGAGGAGGAGAAGACGACGAGAATTCCAGAGGCGGCAGCCCAAACCCGCCCGAAGCGACGAAGGGCAGCGCGCAGACGTGGTGAACACGGACCTCTGGAGGCCCCCTCTGGAGGCCCCCCGAGGCCTCCAGAGGTTTGGAAAGGGCGGAGGTCGCCCGAAGCGTTCATCCTCGACCCTCGCCCAAAACTCAGGTCCTCGACCCTGCATCCTCGCCCCTCGCCCAAACCTCTGATCCTCGACCCCGGATCATCGATCCTCGCACGACATATCCTCAGAAACGACCACTTGGTCACCCAACTTCGCGCATCCCGCCCCGCGATGCGCGGTCATCTTCGCGCTCTCGCGAGGCCTTGGAGAAGGGCAGCTCTTCAGCCTAGGCAGCGACGCGCGAAGCGCGATTATCTTCGCGCCCTTGGGGGCGACCTGCAGTCAAAACCGATAGCACGGATGCACGATGAGGATGCCATGTTGTCACTCTTCGAGCGGGGCGTGACCGAAACCCAAGGATGCGAGGGCACCCTGCCATCCTTGGAAAGCCGATCGTCCTCACAGCAGAGCCACTACCACGACGACGCGCCTGGAGGACCACGCGCCGTAGCAGTCGGGGGCGTCCAAGAGGTGGGCGTCCAAGAGGCGGGGCGCAAATCATGGCCGGCAGCATGTGCGCGGCCCAGGGAGTGGGGGGGGGCCCAGGACGTGCTGAAATAAGAAGGGGCGCCATGAAATCTGGGGAGATATCATGGCCCCCGCCATGAGATCCGCCCCCTGGTCATCACCCCCCTCTTGGCCGCCCCCGATTACTTCGACAAGCGCGTTCCACTACTCGCAAAATTGGCCGAATCTGCCGCGGCGGATTTACGCTCCTTTACATAAGAGGAAGACATGTGTGTTCTGGACGTTTGCGAGTAGGCACTTTGCGAGTAGTGGAACGCGCTCGGTGATTACTCCAGGGACACGACCACGACGACGCGCCTGGAGGACCACGCGCCGCAGCAGGGGTCACCGGGGCGCAGCCCGGGCCGAGCCCTGGCCGGCGCCCCCCGGCCGCTTCAGCAGCCTCGCGGACCCCGGGCACATGACGAGCCTCTCGCGGTGAGCCGTGGGGGAGTGAGGCAGAGGGTCTTTCTGGTAGGTGGGTCTCTCAGGCTCTCCGCCGCCTCTGGCGGTGCGCGTTGCGAGCAGGAACACAGCAAAGCCACAGGTTCCTGCTCGCAGCGCACACCGCCAGAGGCGGCGGAGAGCTTGAGAGACCCACCTACCAGAAGGGAGGATCAGGTACCCATGCCGCTACCCTTCGTTTTCCCCTTCATGTTGCCTTCTGGGAGGCCGTCGTCGCCGTCGGATTCGCCTCGCGATCGTGGTCAGAGCGCACCCAAGCACGTGTCCGTGGAGTGGCGATATCGGTACATTTTGGGTGCCCCAGAGGGTGCGGGTCTTCTCAGAAGGCTTCGAGCAGGGGACCGGCTACAGAATGGATGCGCCCCAAAAAATCGACCTGTTCGGCGAATCTGCAAGAGATGCGTCGAACACTCCGTAGGTCTGCGGGGACTTTCTACGTTTTTCTTGCACCGCTTCGACGGACAAATCAAGCTTGGGATACATCAATGCTGCAGTCGATTTCCTGCTCGGAGGCTCGGCAGACCTCGGGGCTTCTGAGCCCGCTCCGCAGACACAGAAAGCTTCTCGGAAGGCGTGAGGGCTTCCGAGAAGCCCCGTCGCCTTCTGAGAAGGCCTGCCCCCTCTCCCAAGCGCGGCCTAACCGACCCCTAGCACCTAGCAAGCCATTCCCCTTCCGTGACGTCGCCCTCGCCTCTCAAACCTGCCTCCATCCGCATATACAATTACGTCTTCCTTGCCATCGTTCGGACGCCCGTTCCCCGGGCATATTTCGATGTTGTGCGTGTATTTGTTCGCAAGGTGCTCAAAGATACTCCTTGATGGTCCTCGCCGAGCGAACGATGCCAAGCTTGCGGCAAGGCGAGAGGGACGTCACGGAAGGGGCTGGTTTGCCAGGTGGCAGGCCACGTGTCGCACTGGTCGCCCCCTGCGGGGATGCGGAGGGGGAGGAGGAGGAGGAGGAGGAGGAGGAGGAGGAGGAGGAGGAGGAGGAGGAGGAGGAGGAGGGTCGATCAGGCCGTCCCTGACTCTCACTCCCTCGCTGGGCGTGCCGACGAAGCCTGGCCCTCAGGTCCGCCTCGCTGCCGGCGTGGATTAGCCCCTTCTCCTTGGGAGGCTCAGAACTTGGCACCAGCACCAACATCGGCGGCTGCCTCCACCAGGGGGAACCTGATCCCGATTTCGGCAGCATTCGGTCTCTTAGGTGGCCGAAAGAATACCGCCAACACCAAAACCCGCCGACCCTGTCGGCGTGTGTGAGGGTCTTGTCTGTTCGAATTTCTCGTCTCCGTCAGTCGTCGTCTCCGTCGTCGCCTTTCCCTGCATCTCTTCAAGCTTGTCAGCGAGAGAAATATCTAGCAATGTCGCAATCGAACCGAAGGGAAGGATCCCTCGCCCGTCGGGGGGGAGGTGCAGGTTCTGGGGGGGGGGCAGGGGGGAGGTCAGATACGCATAGCCCCCTTGGGGGTGCTGGGGCCTGAGAAAATACCAAAACAGGCCAAGAGTGCCCCAAGAGGCCCTGGCGACGGTCCAAGAAGATGCCCGATCGCCAAACTATCGATCCCAAACGCCCCTTCACGCCTGGAGGGGGGGGGAGCCCTGGAGGGGATCCCAGGAAGGATCGCAGGGCCGGCAGCGGGGGGGGGGCGGATACGCATCCTCCACGCGGGCCTACCCATGTCGTGGCACAGTCGAAGGAGAACCCCTTCTCCCTGACCTTCTCACCGTCGGAGGGTGGGGAGGAGGTCCTGGGGGGGGTCCCGGGGGAGGTCCCAGGCGGGGTAGGGGGGGGGGGAGGGTCAAGTTGGGCATGTCCCTCTACAGGAGGAATATTCAAACATAGTCAAAAATACTCTGGGGACGATGTTTCGATTATTTTCTGACCATGTTTGATCATTGTTTGACAATGTTTTATTTCTCCTCCAAGATCTGCCTGCAGGGGGACATGCCCGACCTACGGGGAGGGACGGCGAGACGCATCCCCCCTGGGGGCCTCGGGGCTTCAGGACGGTCCCGCCGACAGTGCGCACCTCCCCGAACACCTCCCCGGCTTCGTGGGGGCTCCTGGACCCCTCCTGGGTGCCTCGTGTACAGCAGGAGGCTCGGCCACAAGAAACCCACTCAACAACCCCGACGATGGCCTATGCATAGCCTATGATAGATCCCAATCGGCTTATGCATAGGCTAATTATGCAAAGGTCCACCATAGGCCTGTGGACAGGCTATCCAAAGGCCTATGGTAGGCCTATGAATAGCCTATGCATAGGCCTATGGGAGCCTGCGCCGTAGGGCTATGCATAGGCCTATGGGGCTCGGCCACAAGAAACCTTCCACAAGAAACCCAACCCCTGAGACCCCGGGACGTCCCTCGACTTTTGGCGTGGGAGCGTCGCGCTTTCCATGGCAAGAGCATCGACACCCAGGAAACCCAGGGCACCCTGGAGGCAAGTAGACAGTTTCTTGGCATAGCTCTTCACTGTGCACCACCCACGCCGATCCCCATCCATTGACTTTTGGTGTGGGAGCGTCGCGCTTTCCATAGCAAGACCATCGACATCCAAGAGACCCAGGGCACCCTGGAGGTAAGCAGTGTGTTTCTGGGCATGGGTCTCCACTTTGCACCACCCACGCCGATTCCTGGAAAGACGCATCCTTGGCCCAGGATCGGTGCGTACGCCCTCCTGGCTTGGGCAGGGAGGTATCTACAGTCGAACAAGGTCACACGAGCGTGGATGAGAGCATACGACAAGCACGAAGAATACTGGGTGCCCAGTACCCTCTCCGAGCCGACCTCAATCTTTACAGTAAACCCGAATGATAAGGACGCACGATGAGGATGCAAGGGCCTTGGAAGGCCATGCCGACACTCTGCGCGCGGGGCGCGGCCAGCGAAAGCGGCCAAGGATGGGCCGAATGGGGAAGGATGCAAGGGCTACCTTGGAACGTTGCTCATCCTTACTATGCGGGTTGCCTGTATACTTCGGTCCGACCCTATCGGCGATGAGTGGGCGATGGGGGGTCGATGCGTCCTGAGCCTGTCCCCCCTTGACGTGGCCCCCTGACCTCCGGCGCCGGCGCGCTCCCCGGCAGCGTGCCCCCCTCCTCACGAGCGGCGAGACCATCTTAGCCGTCGCTGGATCGTTTGTGGGCGGTCTCGGACGTCCGGGAGTCGGCCAGGGTGTTTCTTGGCATGGGTCTCCACTGTAGCCTCGTGTGGGCACTCTTGGGACCGTCTGATCGCGGCCTTCCCGCCCGCGTTCTCCCCCGTTCGGGGGCCGTCGTCCAGGGCCGGCGTGCGCTGGCTTTAAGGCCTCAACACTCTAGGATGAGGTCGGGCATGCCCCCCACACAAGCAGATTGTTGAGTGGGTTTCTTGTGGCCGAGCCTCCTGCTGTACACGAGGCACCCAGGAGGGGTCCAGGAGCCCCCACGAAGCCGGGGAGGTGTTCGGGGAGGTGCGCACTGTCGGCGGGACCGTCCTGAAGCCCCGAGGCCCCCAGGGGGGATGCGTCTCGCCGTCCCTCCCCGTAGGTCGGGCATGTCCCCCTGCAGGCAGATCTTGGAGGAGAAATAAAACATTGTCAAACAATGATCAAACATGGTCAGAAAATAATCGAAACATCGTCCCCAGAGTATTTTTGACTATGTTTGAATATTCCTCCTGTAGAGGGACATGCCCGACTTGAATCTAGGATCATCCTTCCCCGGTGGAGGACAGCTCGGCGGCGCTCACAGGGGGGAAGGGAAGGGGGGAAGTCTTCTCAGAAGGAGGCTGCTTCTGAGAAGGCGCTGGCCCTACATCTACAGACAAGGCCCGTGCCTTTAGAAGAAGAAGAAGACGAATAATAATAATAACAATAATAATAATAACAAAAAAGAAGCCATAAACACAAACTTTTGGCGCTTCGCGCGGATTTCTTGGATCCGCGCTAGACCCTCGTAGCGCGCCAGGGGCGGCGCCGGAGGCGCCGCCAGGGGGGCCCAGCGCTGATCCAAGAAATTCGCGCGGAGCGCCAACAGTTTATGTTTAGGGCGTTTTTTCTTCTGGGAGCCTTTTAAGAAGCATGGGTGCTTCTAAGAAGTTTTCCCCCCTCCCTCACATCCCCCTCTGCGCGTGGCGGAACAGCCCCCCTGTGCCAGCAGAGCCCAGAATCGAACTTGTAAGTCGGATCGGCGATCGACATGAATCGGATCGGCGGAAATCAGCAGCCGAGTCGGGAGACGTCGAAACGGCGGAAACCTGCAGGCTAATATGCCTCCGTGCAAGAACCAAAGTCCGAATCGGAACCCGGGGTCCAACAGAACCGGAATCGGAATCCATCGAAATCGAGTCGAATCGAATCGGAGGAATCGAAGCGAGCCCTGCTGTGCTGGTGCTGGTGCGTTCTCCTCCTCCTCCTAGTTCTCCTCCTCCTCCTTCTCCTCCTCCCTCCTCCTCCTCCTCCTCCTCCTCCCTTTCCTCCTCTTCCTCCTCCTAATTCTCCTCCTCCTCCTCCTCCTCCTCCCTTTCCTGCTGCTGCTGCTCCTCCTCCTCCTGCTCTCCTCTCCTCCTCCTGCTGCTCCTCCTACTCTTCTCCTCCTCCCCTCCTCCTCTCCTCCTCCTCCTCCTCCACCTCCACCACCACCACCACCACAACCACCACCACCACCACCACCACCACCACACCACCAACACCCACCACCACCACCACCACCACCACCACCACCACACACCACCACCACCACCACCAACCCCACCACCACCCCACCACACCACCTCCTCCTCTCCTCCTCCTCCTCCTCCTCCTCCTCCTCCTCCTCCTCCTCCTCTCCTCCTCTCCTCCTCCTCCTCCTCCTCCTCTCTCCTCCTCCTCCTCCTCTCCCTCCCTCTCCTCCTCATCCTCCTCCTCCTCCTCCTCCTCCTCCTCCTCCTCCCTTTCCTGCTGCTGCTGCTGCTCCTCCTCCTCCTACTCCTCCTCCTCCTCCATTCCATTCCGCTTTCTGGCAGGCCTCTGGGCTCCTCGCACAGCTCGCGCAGCTCCCGCCCGTCGAGCTGCGACAGCCGCTCCAACCAGACCTCCGCGGCCTGCGACCACGGCCTGGGCGCTGCCTCGGGGGCCGGCCCCCAGCCTGCGAGAGCACCGACTATATGAAGGGGCCCAGGGACACACACAAACTAATAGACACAAATAACAGGATCTCCCATATTTTCCATCTGTTCTGGGTTTTCGTCTTCCCCACCACTTCCCATATTTTCCTGGGAGTCGACGATCAATTGTGTCTGTGTGTCTGTGTGTTTCTTTCCTTCCTGACTATACTAGCGGCGAGCGAGGGGGGAACGAGAAGGCGAAGGCCTTCTCAGAAGGCGGCGGGACTCTTCAGGAACCCTCGCGCCGTCTGAGAAACTATATTTCTGTTTCCGGGGAGGGCTGAGGAAACTTCTCAGAAAGCCGGGGGACTCGCGGGCCTTCTGAGAAGGCCTTCTCCTTCTCACTTCGCCCCCTCGCTCGACGCCGATATACACCATACAGTAGGGGCCCGACCACAAGAAACTTCCCACAAGGAACCCAACCCTGAGACCCCAGGACGTCCATTGATTTTTGGTGTGGGAGCGTCGCGCTTTCCATAGCAAGACCATCGATACCCAAGAAACTCGGGGCACCCTGGAGACAAGCAGGGTGTTTCTTGGCATGGCTTTCCACTGTACACCACCCACGCCGATTCCTGGAAAGACGCATCCTTGGCCCAAGATCGGTGCGTACGCCCTCCTGGCTTGGGCAGGGAGGTATCTACAGTCGAACAAGGTCACACGAGCGTGGATGAGAGCATACGACAAGCACGAAGAATACTGGGGTGCCCAGTACCCTCTCCGAGCCGACCTCAATCTTACAGTAAACCCGTATGATAAGGACGCACGATGAGGATGCAAGGGCCTTGGAAGGCCATGCCGACACTCTGCGCGCGGGGCGCGGCCAGCAAAAGCGGCCAAGGATGGGCCGAAAAGGAAGGATGCAAGGGCTACCTTGGAACGTTGCTCATCCTTACTATGCGGGTTGACTGTATACTTCGGTCCGACCCTATCGGCGATGAGTGGGCGATGGGGGGTCGATGCGTCCCCCCTGAGCCTGTCCCCCCCTGACGTGGCGGCCCCCTGACCTCCGGCGCCGGCGCGCTCCCCGGCAGCGTGCCCCCCTCCCCACGAGCGGCGAGACCATCTTAGGCGTCGCTGGATCGTTTGTGGGCGGTCTCGGACGTCCGGGAGTCGGCCAGGGGAGCCGGCCAGGGGAAAGGGGGCCAGAATGTACAAGTGGGGCCCAGGATCTCCCATGTGTGTGTATATATAATTATCCTGGCGAAGGACCCAACCATATGCAGTTGTGGGTACCGCAATTGTGAAAATCTTCTTTGGTGAAACTCCCTATGGGGCCACGAAGCGCTGCACTGGGTGGGGGGGAACGCTGTTCTGGGTGAGTGGTGTGTCAAGTAAGGTTTCCAGGATGCATGCGGACGGTCCCACTGGGGGCTTCGGTGGAGCTCCCTATGGGGCCACGAAGCGCTGTACTGGGTAAGTGAAAATGCCAAATTGGGCTTCCGGGACGCATGCGGACGGTCCCACTGGGGGCTTCGGTGGAACTCCCTATGGGGCCACCAAACGCTGTACTGGGTGAGTGAAAATGCCAAATTGGGCTTCCGGGACGCATGCGGACGGTCCCACTGGGGGCTTGGGTGGAGCTCGCTATGGGGCCACGAAACGCGGTATTGGGTGGGTAAAGATGCCACAATGGGTTTTCGGGACGCATGCGGACGGTGGCACTGGGGCCTTCGGTGGAGTTCCCTACGGGGCCACGAAATTCTGGACTGGGTGGGTGAAAATGCCAGCAGTGGGTGTTTCGGGACGCTTGCGGACGGTCCCACTGGCTGGGGCCTTCGGTGGAGCTCCCTGTGGGGCCACGAAACCCTGCACTGGGTGGGTGAAAATGCCACATTGGGTGTGCGGGACGCATGCGGACGGTGGCACTGGTGCCTTCGGGGGAGCTCCCTGTGGGGCCACGAAACACTGTAATGGGTAAGTGAAAATGCCAAATTGGGTGTTTCAGGACGCACTCGGACGGTCCCACTGGGGGCTTCGGTGGAGCTCCCTATGTGGCCACGAAACGCTGTACTGAGTGGGAGGGACGCATGTGGAAGGTAACACTGTGACCTTCGGTGGGGCTCCCTATGGGGCCACGAAGCGCTGTACTGAGTGGGGGGGACGCATGTGGACGGTGGCACTGGGGCCTTCGGTGGAGCTCCCTATGGGGCCACGAAACGCTGTACTGAGTGGGGGGAACGCATGTGGACGGTGGCACTGGGGCCTTCGGTGGAGCTCCCTATGGGGCCACGAAGCGCTGTACTGAGTGGGGGGGACGCATGTGGACGGTGGCACTGGGGCCTTCGGTGGAGTCCCTATGGGGCCACGAAGCGCTGTACTGAGTGGGGGGACGCATGTGGACGGTGGCACTGGGGCCTTCGGTGGAGCTCCCTATGGTGGAGTGGGGCGCATGTGGCGGTTCGGTGGAGCTCCCTATGGGGCCACGAAGCGCTGTACTGAGTGGGGGGGACGCATGGGACGGTGGCACTGGGGCCTTCGGTGGAGCTCCCTATGGGGCCACGAAGCGCTGTACTGAGTGGGGGGGACGCATGTGGACGGTGGAGCTCCGTATGGGGCCACGAAACGCTGTACTGAAAAGGGGGGACGCATGTGGACGGTGGCGCTGGGGCCTTCGGTGGAGCGCCCCATGGGGCCACGAAGCGCTGTACTGACTGGGGGGCACGCATGTGGACGGTGGCAGTGGGGCCTCGGTGGAGCTCCCTATGGGGCTACGAAGCGCTGTGCTGAGTGGGGGGGACGCATGTGGACGGTGGCACTGGGGCCTTCGGTGGAGCTCCCTATGGGGTCACGAAGCGCGCGCTGTACTGAGTGGGGGGGACGCATGTGAACGGTGGCACTGGGGCCTTCGGTGGAGCTCCCTATGGGGTCACGAAGCGCTGTACTGAGTGGGGGGGACGCATGTGGACGGTGGCACTGGGGCCTTCGGTGGAGCTCCCTATGGGCCACGAAGCGCTGTACTGAGTGGGGGGGACGCATGTGGACGGTGGAGCTCCGTATGGGGCCACGAAGCGCTGTACTGAGAAGGGGGGACGCATGTGGACGGTGGCGCTGGGGCCTTCGGTGGAGCGCCACATGGGGCCACGAAGCGCTGTACTGAGTGGGGGGCACGCATGTGGACGGTGGCAGTGGGGCCTTTGGTGGAGCTCCCTATGGGGCTACGAAGCGCTGTGCTGAGTGGGGGGGACGCATGTGGACGGTGGCACTGGGGCCTTCGGTGGAGCTCCCTATGGGGCCACGAAGCGCTGTACTGAGTGGGGGGGACGCATGTGGACGGTGGCACTGGGGCCTTCAGTGGAGCTCCCTATGGGGCCACGAAACGCTGTACTGAGTGGGGGGCACGCATGTGGACGGTGGCACTGTGGCCTCCGGTGGAGCTCCCTATGGGGCCACGAAGCGCTGTACTGAGTGGGGAGGACGCATGTGGACGGTGGCACTGGGGCTTTCGGTGGAGCTTCCTACGGGGCCACGAAGCGCTGTACTGAGTGGGGGGGGGGCGCATGTGGACGGTGGCACTGGGGCCTTCGGTGGAGCTCCCTATGGGGCTACGAAGCGCTGTGCTGGGTGGGTGAAACGCAGGGGAGAAGGGGGAGGAGGGAGGAGGGGGAAGAGGAGGAGAGGAGGAGGAGGAGGAGGAGGATGAGGAGGAGGAGGAGGAGTAGGAGGAGGAGGAGGAGGAGGAGGAGGAGGAGGAGGAGGAGGAACGCGGGGACCGTCTCTTCAAAACGAGGACCCAACACCGCAGGATGGTTGGGGAAACAACGTTCACTTACCCATATAATACATATGTTGATATACATGTATGTGTATATGCATATGTATATACATATGCATATGTATATGTATATGTACATGTACACGCATCTGTATATGCATAGGTATATGTATATGTATATGTAAATTATATGTGCATGTATATGTATATGTGTATGTATATGTGTATGTATGAACGTATGTATGTGTGCATGTGTGCATGTATGCATGTATGCATGTATGTATGTATGTATGTATGCATGTATATATATACACACCTATCTATAGTCCCATAACTATACATCCTGCATGGGACCCCCCCTGGATGGCCCTACCCATACCTTTTTCGACGGTCCTCCCCGGCCCTGGGGCACCTTTCGAACGGACTTCCGAGCTTTCCCAACCAACCGCCCGTGCGCCGAACGATCGGCTGAAACGCTTTTCATGGCTTCCCGACGGCCCAAGACGCCCGAAGACGGCTCCCAAACGGCCCCACAAGACTCCCAAGAGCGCCGCGACATGCACAAATCAACGATGTTCCAAAGGTTTTTGACAGATTATGACGTTCTCGTCATTCCCGACATCCTGCATCTCACAACGGCCCAAGAGGCTTCCGAGATCCCCACAAGACGGCCCAAGTGGCCTCCAAGACGGCCCCGAAAAGGCCCAACAGAGCCCCCTGACGCCCAAGTTGGCTCTAAGACGGCGTGCAGCGCGCCCCGCAGACGCCCAGGGGCGCGCCCCACGGGGCACCCGATGGCCCAAGAGGCCCCCAAGAGAGTCCCAAGACGGCCCAAGAGGGCTCCGAGACGGCCCAAGATAGCCCCAAGACGGCCAAGAGAGACCCCAGAAGGTCCCACAGGGGCCCCAAGGGAGCTCCAAGAGGGCCATAGGAGGCCCCCTGGACGGCCGAAGAGGGCCCCCAGAGGGCTCCAAGACGGCCCCAGCCCCCCCGGGACGGCCCAAGAAGGCCCAAGACAGCCCAAGAGGGCCCACAGCCAGCCCAAAAGAACCCAAAGGGACCCCCAAGAAAGCCCAAGAGGCCCCCAGAATTTCCAGAATGCTTCCAAAAGACTCCCAGGAAACTTCCCAAGGCTCCAAGAGGCCCCCGATTCACGATTCACCTCAGGGCTTCAAGAGGCCCCAAAAACAAACGCCGCCAGGCCCCGAGAAGCACTACAAACGCCCCAGACTCACGATCCAAGTCAAGGGTGGTCCGGCATGGGCGAGGCGGCGGGATGCGAACCTTGGCTCTTGGGCCGTCCGTGCAACTCCCTGTGGGGTACGATCCGTGTGAGGAGACGGTATGAGACAGTCGGCATACGCGGGGGGACGTGACGTTACGCGAATCCTCTGACTATGGCCGCACGTGAACTACATCCCTCTGGGACACGATCCGTGTGATGGGTTGCCGAGACGGGCGGAACGATACCGTGCGAACTTTGACACTGGACCCGCAACTGGAGCTCCCGGGGGACGCTATGTGAACCCTGCCTTCCCACTGGGCCGTAGGATCATAGCTTGCACTTTTTCTCAGTTTTCCCACAGCCCCCTTCTTCTCCTCCCCTCCTCCCCCTCCTCCTCCTCCTCCTCCTCCTCCTCTTCCTTCCTCTTCTCCTCCTCCTTTTCCACCTCCTCCCCTTTCTCCTCTTTCTCCTCCTCCTCCTCCTCCTTCACCTCCTCCCGCTCGCGCGGTTTGCAATACTTCGGCAAGCAATGGTGCTCTCGCCTATCCGTGGCCGCATCCTGATCCAAGAGTTGCGCAGCCACCCCAGCACTGACCACACTCTCCAATACGAGCGGTACTGTCGCCTCAGAGTCGGCCACAACCCTCATTGCAGATGATGCTGCCGGTCGCGCACAAGTTCCATTCCTGGATGGGATTGGCGCTCTCGCCCGAGCGCTGGTCACACCCCTGTCTGGGAGTCATGATGCCGTCTGCGCGCTGGCCACATGTTTCATGGGACGCGGCACTCATTTCGCAGCACCAGCCACGCCCCTCACTGGCCATTGTGATGCCGCTCCACTCGCACGGTTCCCACAACCCTCATGGGATAATGGTGCTCCGCCCAAGCGCCAACCACATCAATTTCCAAAACTTGTGCTACCGCCCCAACGCGGGCCGCATCCGTGTGTGAGACGGGTACTCTCGTTTGAGCCTCGGCTACATCCGTCTTTTACGAGCGCCACCTCCGGCGCGAGACAACTGGCGACCGCAGCTGCCGCCCCTTCGTGCTGGGCGAGTGCCGAACCTGGCGTTCGATTTGGACGGAACGCGTCGGGTCTCTTAACAATCGGGACTGCGCCAGGTTAGCCCCCCCAACGTCAGATTCGGGAATGGGTCGTAGCAACACTTCGGCTACATCAATATGCTAACCGCAGAGTCAATATAACATGTAAGTGCAAGGGTCAAAATTAGAAGGCGAAGCGCAGCGAGCCTTAACATCTAGTGTCCATTTATTTGCATACATACATGTATTTATACTTATATAATCATGTGTATGTCTATAACTATATATACACGTATACATGCATACATGTCTGTATGTTTGCATGCATGTCTGTATGTCTGTGTGTATGTATATACATCTCTATATCGCTCGTGCTTCCGCGCCGCGCAGTGTCTAAAATATCATTGTACAGCCTTGTGAGTTGACATGAAGAGCGCCCTCGCAGCTCGGGCACTGTCCTCGGCCGCTTCAGGTAGCGACCACCTTATAATAGGAAATTTCGCCTGTATGTTGTACGCATGACAAGCAATGACTGTGCGCTGTAGCGCAAGACGCTGAGGATACTCGTCAGATTCTCCGCTGCAGAGGCCCAGACGAGCGAGAACTGACTGTGGGTTGCGCAATTGCGAGTGCCACACCGTGCATACTGCCTGCCAAAGGTGTGGGCAACGAATATAGTGAGACATGGAGTCCAAGGCGCGTGTGTCCTCAGATTGGTGGCAGCCGAAAACACAAGGGCTGCAAACGTCACTCGAGTGTAGGCGGCGGCTCGTGGTCCATCCCCCCACCCAGGTCTGAGTAGGGCCGAGTGAGCAGCGGGCGAAAAGCCCGAGACGAGCAGCTTTTTGAGCGGCTCCCATTCGATCTGTGAGAGCGTAAACGATTCATCGGAATTCGACCAGGAATTGAGACGAGAGAAAAAGGTAACAGGCAGGCGGTATCTATGTATGTATGTATGTATGTATGTATGTATGTATGTATGGATGGATGTATGTATGTATGTATGTTTGTATGTATGTATCTATGTATGTATGTGTATATATATATATATATGTGTAGGTATACACTTCCTTACCATAATCTGGAGCCCTGCGACCCCCCCCTTTAATGGGACCGCACCCCGGATCCTTGGCCCCAGAGGCACCCTGGACGCCCTTGCAGACGGTCTGGGGCTCCAGAAGTCCCTACTGGGCCTAGACAACGAGCCCAAATCGGTCAGGAGGGCGGCCGAACGGCCCCGCGAGAGCCCACAGAGGCCCCAGACACCCACCAACCGCCCGAAAACGACCCAAAGAGGAGCCCCAAGAGGCATGTGAAGTGCAAACGCTATTGATTTCCAATGGTTTTTCTGATTTGGGGGATGCTTTTGTTCTTCGGTCTTCCAGGCGTCGGAGACCGCCCAGGAGGCCAGAGAATCGCCCCAAATTCAAGGCGGGCAAAATTTAATCAAGAGGGCTTCCAGACAGACCAAGAGGAGCCCCAAGACGGCCCAACAGGGCCCCAAGATGGCCGGAACAGAGCTCCATGCCGGCCCAAGATGGCCACAAGATGCCCTCCGAATCTCTCCAAATCGTGACCTGGTCGTTCAGTGAGAACGCGGTTGGAACCAGGGTGTCCCAGGGAAGCCCCCAGAGGCTCCCAGAAGTAACCCAAGAGGCTTCCAGAAGGTTCCAACAAGCCCTTGAAACCTTTCGTGAGGCCCCCAAAAGGCTCTCCTGGGAGGAGCCTCCGTAAAAAGAGCCGAGGATAGGGTCGAAACACGGTCACACGAACGTGGATCAAGAACATGGGACCCCGCGGCGAGAACCCAAGGCCCGACGCAGATATCCTAAACCAAGGGCGTTCCCAGGTGGAGAGCCCCACGGTGAAGGGCAGAAGGGTGCTCCTCCAAATCTACGTCTGTCCTTAACACTCGTGCCAGCTGTACACAAGACCCTTCCGAGGGCCACACTGCCACAAGAATGTAGAAGGCCTGGGTCGCGAAATACAGGACACACGGGTACCCTTGATTTGGCAGGGCCGACCTACTAATCAACCTCAACTGTACACGTCGGTCGGAAGACGTAGGTAAAAACATGAAGTAGTAAGGCGGATATAATGGATTGGGTTCAGAACCCCCCAGATTACAACATAACACAGCAAACGCATATCGATTCCTGAAATAGGAAGGCGATTGAAGCAGAGTGGGCCCAGGGAGTCCAGAAATACCTAAGTCCTTTGAACGACAGACGTGTACACCCATCCTGGGCCCAGGATTCGAGTAGGGGATCGACTACAGAATTGACTTACCCCAAGATTGTCTTGTTCGTCGAATCCATGAGAAATGCGTAGAGTGTTCGTAGGTAGATCTACGAACACTCTACGTGTGACTCGAAGAACAGAATTTGGCGCCCTCCGACAGCCCTCCGCGTGGGGGCGGGCGCCCGCACCGAGGCCGGGCGGCGGGGCGCTGCAGGGGCCGCCTCGGACGAGGAATAGGAGGACACAGGTGGAGAATGTGGAGCAGGAGGGGGGAGGAGGAGCAGGAGGAGGCGGAGGAGCACACAGGTGGAGGATGCGGAGCAGGAGGGGGGAGGAGGAGGAGGAGGAGGAGGAGGAGGAGGAGGAGGAGGAGGAGGAGGAGGAGGAGGAGGAGGAGGAGGAGGAGGAGGAGGAGTAGGAGAAGGGCAGCCGCGCCCGCCGCGCAAGGGCGCGGCCGCTGCGAAGCCCGCCGACGCAGCCAGCAGCACGCGCGCCGCGAGCCGCGCGCGGCCCCCGCGGGCGAGGCGGCGCGCGGCGGGGGCGGCCCCGTGGGCGGCGGAACGGAGCCCAGAGATCCGCGGCTATGATTTTTCCTAACCTTCCCTCCTCCCTCCTCCTCCTCCTCCTCCCTCCTCCTCCTCCTCCTCCTCTCCCCTCTCCTCCTCCTCCCCCTGCTCCTCCTCAATCTCCTCCCTCCTCTCCTCCTCCTCCTCCTCCTCCTCCTCCTCCTCCTCTTCCCTCCGTCTCCTCCTCCCTCCTCCTCTTCCTCCTCCTCCTCCTCCTTCTCCCTGGATCTCGGCCTCCAGGAGCCGTTATCGAACTCTGGGGCCATCAGGAACGGATCCGGGACGAATCAAAAACACGCCCGGGGAAGGGGTCGGGACCTCTAGGGTTAGGTCGGGCAGGTCCCCCTACAGGCGGACTTTGGACGAAAAATTAAGAACACTCAAAAGTTGTCAGGAACAGTCAAAAAATCGTCCCCATACTATTATGAGACTATTTTTGAATATTCCTCCTGTAGAGGGGCATGCCCGACTTAACTCTAGGGCCGCGGCTTGAACAAAAATCACATCGGCGGATGTCCGGGAGGTCCGCTGGTCCGGTCGTCGCCGAAGGCAGGCGCGGCATGGCGCGGCCGGCTGCCAGTGTTCGAGTAAGCCATCGGCTGCAGAGATCCGCGGCTATGATTTTTCCAATCCCTCCCCTTCCTCCTCTTCCTCCTCCTCCTTTTCCCTCCTCCCTTTCCCTCCTCCTCCTCAACCTCCTCCTCCTCCTCAACCTTTTCCTCCTCCTCCTCCCAAAACCGATCCTCTCTTCGAGTCACACGTAGAATCTTCGTAGACCTGCGAACACTCTGCGCACTTCTCGCGGAGTCGACGAACAAATCAAACTTTGGGGTCAACCAATTCGTACCGATTCTGTAGTCGATCCCCTCCTCGAAGAGCGGCGCCCCCTGCATCGGCACCGTGCTTTGGACTCTCCCTTCGGGCCCCGCTCCGGCGCGGTGCGGTGCACCGTTGGTGCCTCTGGCCCCGAGGGCCGAAGGAGATGTGCACCGCACCGCTCCCGGGTCGAGGGTTGGCGACGCCTCGGGCGACGCCGGCGCGGCACGCAGAGGAAGGACGAATGGCACAGACGTCAGCTCCAGAGGCAGCGCGCGGGAGCCTCCCATGCCGCCTTGTCGGCTCTTGCGACTCGACTCTAATCGACGCTGAGCGACGCTAAATTTACGCTAAATCGACGCCAAATCGGCGCTACCTCAACAAAAATCCAGACGCTAATCGACGCTAAAGACGGAATCCAGATGGTATACCAAAGTCTCATGATTTTCTACCGAACATCAACATTCGATGGTCTGCGCGGATTTCTTGGATCTGCGCCGGACCCCCCTCACTGGCACGCGGAGCGCGCCGGGGGTGGCGCCGGAGGCGCCGCCAGGGGGGCCCCAGCGCAAATCCAAGAAATCCGCGAGGACAGCCGAAAAAATCTGTTTATGCCGTGTTGTCCTCCTTCGAGTACGGTGCACACGGGTCGTCCCCTGAGATCCGACGTTGCGAAAAAATTACAACATCGCGAAAAATCACGCCCAAAGCCCTGGACCCCGTCTTTCTGCATGATTTCTCGAGCCGGATCGACCTCTGAAGGCCCCAGGGCCCGACAACGAGCAAAAACGCCCAGCATGATAAACTGCAACGCCAGGATCTCAGGGTCCGCGGAGAGTCGGGGGCGGCCAAGAGGGGGGCGTCCAAGAGGGGGGGGCGCAAATCGTGGCTGGCGGCATGTGCGCGGGCCATGGGGGGGGGGCTAGGCACGTAACGAAATAAGAAGAGGCGCCATGAGATCTGAGGAAATATCATGGCCCACGCCATGATATCTACCCCACCCTAGTCATCACCCCCCTCTTGGCCGCCCCCGATCCACAACGGGCGTCTTCGCTCAGCTTCGGGCCTCGGGACCCTCACAGATCGACCCGGCTTGAAAAAGGACGCAGAAGGATGGGGTCCGGGGCTCCGAGCGTGATTTTTCGCGACGTTGCACTTTTTCGCAACGTCGGATCTCAGGGTTCTTAACCCTGGCGTCAGCTGTCAGGATGCAAGAAGACCATGATATCCACCCCCCTAATCATCCCCCCCCCCTCTTGGCCGCCCCCGAAGAAGAGGGGGGGGGCGCAGGGCCGGGCGGCTGGGCGGCTGGGCGGGCTGCTCCAGCGCAGGGAGCTGCGGCAAGCGGCCTGCAAAGCGCGGCCGCACGGCGAGCGCAGGCGTGGCGGCCACGGAGGGCTACGGGCGTTGGCGCCGAGAGCAGTTGCACAGATGTCTGATTGAAATTGATTGCGCGGAGGAGAGGGGAGATAAGGAGGAAAAAGACGAAGACGAGATGATGATGAGGATGATGATGATGCTGATGACGATAACGATGACGATGATGATGATGCTGCTGCTGCTGCTGATGAGGATGATGGATGATGGATGATGGATGATGGATGGTGGATGATGATGATGATGCTGATGAGGATGATGATGACGAGGAGGATGAGTATGAAGAAGAAGATGATGATACTGATACTGATAACGATAATGATAACGATAACGATAACGATGATGATGATGATGATGATGATGATGAGGAGGATGAGGATGAGGATGATGATGATGATGATGATGATGATGATGATGATGATGATGATGATGATGATGATGATGATGGCGATGGTGGTGACAGTCATCAATCTCACCCTTACACACAAACCACCTACACAAAGATACCACCCTTACCGGTGAGGGAGAGGCTCAGAAGCTGGCGCAAACACCAACATCGGCGGCTGCCTCCGCCGAAGCAGTACCACTAAGTCGGGCACGTCCCTCTACAGGAGGAATATTCAAACATAGTTAAGAAATAGCCTGGGGACGAATTTGTCTCTCTTGTTTTTGATTATTGTTAGGTATTTTTCGGATATATGTGTGATTGTTCGCCCAAAATCCGTCTGTAGGGGGACACGCCCGACCTAACAGTACCACCAGCACCCAAATCTGGGATCTCCCATCCCCGGTGGAGAACAGCTCGGCGGCGCGCAAAAGGGGGGGTAGGGGGAGGGGGGAATGCTTCCTGGAAGGAGGCTGCCTCTCTTAAAGGGCACGGCCCTCACTTCGGGCTCCTTGGGTCGCCGAAGCAGTACCACCAGCACCCAGATCTGGGATCTTCCTTCCCCAATGGAGAACAGCTCGGCGGCGCGCACAGGGGGGGTAGGGTTAGGTCGGGCACGTCTTCCTACGGGCGGTGTTGGGCCAAAACTAAAAAATAGTCGAAACATATTCAAGCATATCCAAAGATATTCAAGCAATCGTCCCCAGACTATCTTTTTTACTACTTTGGAATCTTCCTCCTGTAGAGGGACACGCCCGACTTAAGGGTAGGGGGAGGGAGGAGGTTTCTTGAAGGAGGCTGCTTCCCTTAGAGGGCGCGGCCCTCACGTCCACAGGCCAGGCCCGCGCCTGCTAAGAAGCAGCCTCCTGCCAAGAAGCCTTCCTAGTTAACCCCCCTCTGCGCGCGGCTGAGGGGTGGCGGCCAGCAGCGCAAGCGGCTGCACACCCTGGCCCCGCACTCCAGGCCAATCGGGAGCATCAAGCGTCCCCGCTGCGATTCGGTGCCGGCACGGCCTGCCTCGCAGCCTGGCCCGACGGTTCCGACAGGCATCCTCAGAAGGCGAGGGGGCTTCTTCTGCGGGGGGCTTCTGCGCGCGCGCCCACATGCGATGCGCGGGCCTGACTCAGCGCATCGCGCCCTGCGATGCGCGACGCGCGATTCTCTTCGCGCCCTCGCGCCGCCGCTTTGGAGAAAGGCGCCTCTCCCGCGTCCTCCGCCCGAAGCTGCCGCGCGTGAAGCGCGGCCCTCTTCGCGCCCCCTCGGAGTGACCTGGACCATCCTGGGCCCACGGCTGGCTCCACGGCCGCAGCCAGCCGTGCGACGGTCTTGACTAGCTACCAGACCACCCCCACCCCAACCCAAGGACCCGCATTTCGGATTGAGGGGGGTACGGGCTTCATGGGTTTTCGTCCAGGATCCGCGACCCCCCCCCCGAGCCAGCCGTGCGACGGTCTGGCAATAGACAGGCGCGTTCCACTACTCTCCAAGTAACTACTCGCAAATAGCCTGGATCCGCCGAGGGGGATCTGCGATACATTCCACCGATGCAGACATGGTTTTCGGACGCTTGCGAGTAGACACTTTTCGAGTAGTGGAACGCGCCCGGTGAGGCAAGGCCGCCCGCCCTGAGCGTACACGCGTTCCTTTCCCTGCCGGCGCGCGCCCACGGCCGGCTGCGTGACGACGAGCTGGGCTTAGGTCGGGCATGTCCCCTACAGGCAGATTTTGGAAGAAAAATTAAGATGTTTCAAAAATACTCCAAACACAAGAAAAAAAGTAAAAATAATGTCCCCAGGCTATTTGTTCCCAACCATCCTGTGGTGTTGGGTCCTCGTTTTGAAGAGACAGCACCCCGCGTTCCTCTCCTCTCCTTCTCCTCCTCCTCCTCCTCCTCCTCCTCCTCCTCCTCCGCCTCCTCCTCCTCCTCCTCCTCCTCCTTCTCCTCCTCCTCCTCCTCCATAGGGAGCTCCACCGAAGGCCACAATGGGGGTGTTCGCATGCGTCTCCCCCGCCCAGGACAGCGTTTCGTGGCCCCATAGGGAGCTCCACCGAAGGCCCCAGTGGGGGTGTTCGCATGCGTCTCCCCTACCCAGGACAGCGTTTCGTGGCCCCATAGGGAGCTCCACCGAAGGCCCCAGTGGGGGTGTTATGGGGTGTTCGCATGCGTCTCCCCCACCCAGGACAGCGTCTCGTGGCCCCATCGGGAGCTCCACCGAATGCGTTGCTCACAAAGACGGTACTCACAACTGCATATGGTTGGGTCCTTCGCCAGGCTAATTTACTATTTTTGAGTTTTCCTCCTGTAGAGGGGCAAGCCCGACTGA